CTCTGCAAAGCTGCTCTGATTCACCTGTCTCCCAGCCCGGGGTATCCAGGCCCAGTCTCACTCCAACCCTAGAGGTATGAATTTCTCAACTTGTCTGCATCAGCACTGGGGTCACGGGCAGGGGCTGAGCCCACTGGGCAGGACTGCAGGCAGAGGGGGGTCAGAAGTGGCTTAGACCCCAGGTCACTCACTAGCGTGGGAGCTCCAGTGCAGGCGGCTCTAGCTCTCCAAGACAAAGCCTCTCCCAGCCAGGGGGAGGGGTGGGAAGAAGAGACTGGGAGGCCCAGCTGCCCCGCCCCCCATTCAAGTGTTAATGAGCTCCAGCCGGAGGGTGGAGGGAGAAGGCTGTGGAGAGAATGGGGAGTCTGGAGTAGGGCCTAAAGCACCAGCCCACCATGTGCCCAGGGCCTTGCCACACTCCCAACCCTAGACCCCCGGGAAGGCTTGGGCTAAGGTCCTCAGGACAGTCTGTCGCTCCAGCTGGCACCTTGGTCTCCCCACCTGCTCTGAGCAGCTGTCTGCGGGCAAGGAGGGGATTCCCCAGGGAATCCATACTGGGGTCAGGCGGCTTCTAGGCTGGGGAGATCCCTTTCTACCCCCTCTCAGCTCTGCAGGAGTCAGCAGTGGGCAGCTCACCTGCTCTGGGCTTTGTTGCACACAGCCACACCACCTGTGGCTTCGAGCTGGCACCGGTCCCCAGCCAGGACCTCACCCAGCCAGGACCTCACCTGTCACTGACCGGGTTTCTCAGCCAGTACAATTGGTGGAGCAGGTCTGAAAAAGGTGAGCCCTCCCACCCCAGGAAACGCCCCCCGCAGGCTTGGGAACCCAGGCCAGAGCTCCCCCCATGAGTGCAGTTACTGACTTGGTCCATCTGTCGCCAAGGTCTGGCCCTGGCAAATAGTGCCTTATTTTTGAAGACCACTCACCCCTTCTCCAGGAACCATCCACCCTCAAATTCACAGGCACCCCTAGGCTACCCACTACTCTGCTGGCCAGGATCGCCAGTTAGTCCTTCCTTAGGATGAGCTGACAAAGCGCAACTCAAGCAGCAGTCGGGATTACGGATGCCTGCCTATGGATGTGATGCGCACCATCACTCTGTGCGGACCCAGTAACAGGCAACTAGAATAGGCCAGGCCCTCTGCGAGAGGCACAGGACAAAACCCACAGAACTCCCTTTCCTTTTGGCACACCCTGCTGAGCCCGTGTGTGCTGCCCCAGTCCTGGCCGAGCCAGACGCTCCGGCAGCTCTGTTCTGCTCTGCTCTGGGCCCCTGGCTGTGGGGCACCCCCAGCCAGAGAGCTCAGCCACCTCCATTGCAGCAGCAGGCCTGGAGCAGTCCCATGCAGCCAGATCTGGGTCTCCCTGGTGGCACAAAAGGTTAAACTGCAGCACTGTGAAGCCAACCACAGCCACTGCAGCTCTTTCATCCCTGGCCAGGGAGCTGACCCACATGGGGGGCAGACCTCTCCTGCCTCCCCTCAGCAGTGTATTTCAGTCAATCCACCTGTTCTGCTTCCCATTGTATCTCGTGGGTCCTGTCACCCCCCCCCCACCCCTCTGGCTTGTACCCCAGTTCTTGTATGCATAAATAAATCAATCTCTGATCTGAGATTAGAATGTAATGCCCCTCTCTCTCATGTGAACAGTTAGAGCTCTACAGTGTGCTGTACCCTGGGACAGGCTGCTGACTGCTCAGCAACAGTTTCTCACGGAAGAGGGGCGGGCAAGGGTTGTCTGAGGTGCCAGCACAGGCTGTGGTGAGAGCAGAAAGCAGCAGCCTACACTACTCCCAGTCTCCCACACTGGCCCTACTGAGTCCTTGCCACCTGCCCACAATATACCAGGCTTTGGTTCATTGGCCACCATCTTACTCTTCCATCTACCCATCCCGAGATCAGGTTCAGAGGATTCTCCTTTCACTCAACAGACAGAAGCACCCAACAGGTGCCAGGCTCCCTGCGCCAATGCTGGCCAGAAAACTCAGAAGCAAACCAGACACAGACCTGCCCTGTCGTCTCCCAGGAAGGCAGCTGTGACCCAGGCAAATACCAGCTCTGATGGAGGAAGCAACAGCACGGGGAGCCAGAGGAGGTGCTCACCTGCCTCAGAAAGGGGGTTGTGAAGGAAAAACCCTGGTAGTAATCCCTGAGCAGTCTCGAACATTCAAGTGGGAGTGAAGCGAGTCAGCTGGAAACGGGAAAAGCACGCCCAGCAAAGGGAACAGCGGCTGCCAAGTCCCGAGGGAGAGAGAGAGCTGCTGTAAGTACCGTCTAAAACCCGCCTCTGAAACCTCCACGGAGCCAGAAGGGGCACCTGGGTCCCTTCTCTGAGGCTGCTCCCATAAGCCCATCCCAACCTGGAGACAGTCCACACACTCTGGCTTCGCCGAAGTGCCCAGCCCAAGTTCCCAGCTTCCACCTGGTGATACAACTGGCCATTCAAATTGAATTGCTTGGGGGTGGGGTAAGGGTATCCCCAGAGCTGGTCTGCTATCAGTTCCTCTTCTCCCCCCATCAAACTACCAGGAAAAACCCTCTCAGCAGTGTGTGCTACATCTGCCTCTGCCAAGGTGACAGCGGCTGCACCACCCCTGGCAGGGTTGGTTACCCAGGACCGGAGGGAAGGAGCCAGGATGCGGGCGGGGCAGCAGGCAGCAGGCGTGGTTCTGCTGGGAGGGAAGGCTGGCAATTGCCCAGACCGAGTCCCGTTGCCTGGACAGAGTCCTTCCCGCTACATGAGACGGGCACTCAGCACTGCCTAAGCCAGGCTCCTGTCACTTCTTTCTACCTGGATGGGGAAGGACAGCCAGCCAGGATCCCTCCCTGGTGGCCACGCAGACTGGGCACTTAATTTTCAGGATGAGAGCTTGGTCTCCAGATATGCCCTCTGCAGGTGCCTGGCCCCAATCCACACCCCCAGCAAGAAGTTCCTCTAGGCCCCTGGTCTCATCGTGGACTTGGGCTCCCCTCTGACACAAGCAACCTGATTCACAAGGGTGCGGAGCAAAGGCCAGATGGCCAGGATGCTAAGATGGACCCCGGGACTAGAAAAGGCTGGGCCAGCCCCTATTCCTTATTGCTGGCAGCCCAGTGCAGGAGGGACTGTGGGCCCAAAAACTGAGTTGCACTCAGGGAAGAAGACTTGTGAGATGAGGTCAAGACACAGGCCAGGAGCCCTGTGTGGCTCAGTGCTGTGGCTCAGTGCCATGGCTCAGTCCACATCGCCACTGCCACCACAGTAACGTGACAGGTCTGAGAAGGGGCTGCTTAGACCCCTCTGCTTTGGCACCGGAAGGTGGCAGTATCCGAAGCACCCTCCCCAGGCCCAGCGGGCAGCTGCGGTGGGCATTCTGGGCGTCAACGCCCACTCGCTGCCGCTGCCGCACTCCCGGCGGAGACAGGAAGAGGCAAGCGCCCAACGCAAAACAGCCCTGGAGGCTGGGCCGCCGCCCCTTCCCGCCCCTTCTCTTCCTCCCGCAGCGGCAAAGCGGATGCCATTTTGAAACCTCCGGGCACAGCCCCCGAGGCCAGGCCCCCGGAGGCAGTCAACAGATGGGCCCGGGGTGGAAGACACACTGTCCCTCAGCCAATCGCCCAGCAGGAAAAGTCCTGTTTTTTCACAGCTTGTGGACCCCAGGGCAGCTCCTGAGCTGAGGGGCCACACCCCCCCAAAACACTACCTTCTAACGCTGCAGGGAGGGCGTCCCTCTCCCAGAACTCTGAGCCGACCCCAATCTGGCCGACCCTGGGCACCACACCTGTTCTCAAGTGGGAGGCAGTGGGGTCACACATTCTTTACAAGAGTCCACCTCAGCCACCCACCCCCAGCTGCCCCCCAACTCCTCATCCAGCTGGTCCATCACTTCCCCCTCACAAGACCTCGAGATCTGTCCCCCCTGCCCGAGGCCATGACCCAGGCCTTTCAGTACAGAAGGGGTACAGGGAACAGATTTCCTCAGCCCTCCTGCCGGGCAGCAATATGTCGGCTGTCTCACCACTTCCACTTCCCTCCACTCCTCAAACAGCCACCATCTTCCCTGGCCTTGAGGGCGCTGCAACCCCAACTCCTCCACACTCCCTCCTACTCCCCAGATGTCCCTCACACTGGCCCAGACCAGGCTAAGGAAATGGGAACGGTACAGCCAGCAGAGCCGCCCTGGGAAGCTAGAAACCAGTGGAAGTGTGACCGGTGGGGCCACGGTGCAACTTGGGGTCTGCCTGACCCTGTTGGGGCCCCTTCTAGGTCCAGCCCACCTGGGGCAGGAGGAGGACTCTGGGGAAGATTCGAGTGTGGGAGGGGACTGACAGCAGGGGAAGCAGAGGGTTAGTGGCGTGATGCCTGCAAAGGGCCTGCTGGGCCAAAAGCTAGGGACAGTCTCTAAAGGTCTGGGATTCTGGACTGGAGAGCAGGCTTATGGGTAGTCATGGTTTCCCACAAGAGGTGCCTTGGGTCAGGGCACACCGCTGGAGCAGGTAAGATCCTGAGGAAGAATAGCAAGGAAGAGGGAGTGCGTGCGTGAAGGCCAGGCCAAGACCCTGGAGATATTCGTGCCCAATAGGAACAGAGAATGCAGGTATAGAGGTAACAGGTGGTGCTTGAGGGTGTACTGGGGTGTGTGTGGGGTAAGTGGGGTCCTGGGGGGTTGTGGCAAAGTCTAGGAAAGGATGGAACAAGGCAGGGACTCAGCAGGTCCACAAGATTGGTCAGCAAGGGTGGATGGTCAAGCAGGGCTTGGACACTTGGTGTTAGCACACTGGTGGCTGGGGCTGAGGGTCTGGGATGCGCTGCGGGTCTGCGCTGGAGTCTGGGCTAAGGAGCGGAGGTGTAGGCCAACCTAGAGTTTTCAGCCATAATTTGGGTGTCCTGGCCAGGCCAGATGTGGGGTCCAAGCCGAGTCCGGGAATTCGAAACCCTTACTGGAGGTCCAAGTCCTTGTCTAGGGATTTGGGCGGTGTGTGCGGGCGGGGGGGTCTCAGAGTAGGGTTTGGCCTCACCCAACAGCAGCAACTTCACCTCCCGCGCCGCCTTCTCCCCGTCTTCCCGCAGGTTCTTGTCTATCATCTTGGAGCGCTCAGCCGCCGCCTTGTCCTCGGCGCTCACGGTGCAGCCCA